TGCTGAGATACTCAGAGGTGGCTTTCTGTACATTAACCTTAATGGTAGGAAATACCTGGTGGACTGAAATGTCTGATAGCAATTGAAATTACAGAATTCTAAAACAATAGGGGCCATAGGGCAGTACTTAACTACTAATGCATAGAACAGACTATAGGGAACTACAGGGGTTTGCTCCACCATAGATTTTTAGCACCTATTCACCCTGTACATCCTATTCATCTTATATAACTTCTTCATCTGACAATAATAAACCTGCAATGAGATAAGCCAGAAACAACGGGAGAAAGACCACATGATATTCCTTCCATGAGAAACCTCAAACAGTCAAAGAGGAGGATGGTGGCTGACATTGGGGCCTTTCTTGGTACTCAGCTAAAGACAGAAAATAAAACCAAGTTTCCAGCAGTCATGATGGCAGGAACCTAAAGAAGAACCTGGATTCTAGGCCCTAGTTCCGTTACCCAGAGGGTACTTTCTCCATCTCTCCTGCAGCTAAAGCAGAAGATGCCTCACTTATAGCTGGACAAACACACAAACAAGCAAACAACCAAAGCTGCCCAACTAGTGTATGCATCCATACCTGTGAACTTCCAGTTTTCAAGAGAACCTGCAGGCCACATACATCTTCAGAGTAGTAGAGAATGGTTCCCTCCACTGATATGGAAAGTTCACCCATGAGTCTTCTCAAAGGTCAGTATTTCCCATTATTTTAGACCCTGCAGTGGTTTCACCATCCCTATGATAACTCAGCTATACCCCAGGGAATGTTTTAAATCATTCTGGGTTTTCATTATGAAAGCTCTATGGAGTAGACTTTATTTAGATATGTATGTTTTACCTATTGTACATTATTTCATTTTTTTGTTGTTCTTGTCATTTGTAGGACTTGAACTCAGGGCCTGAGCACTATCCCTGAGCTCTTTTGCTCAAATCCAGTGTTCTATCACTTTGAACCACAGCACCACTTCTGGTTTTCTGAAAGTTAACTGGAGATAAGAGTCTCGTGGACTTTCCTGCCTGGGCTGCCTTTGAAGTGTGAACCTCAAATCTCAGCTTCCTGAGTACCTAGGATTACAGGTGTGAGCCACCAGCACCTGGTTACACTTAAGTTCACTTTAAATTAGTTTTTAACAATATCCATCAGAATTAAAGAGTAGTTTGACATTTCCCCATTATATATGCTGCATGTAGCTTCACTTAATTAAATGTGAAAGTTTTTACAGTTCACGAACAAATAATTCATACTGATGTCTCACATTTGGCAAGGAAACTGAAATGTATCAAAAATGTCTAGCTACTCGGGAGGCTGAGATTTAAGGATAGCGGTTCAAAGCCAGCCAAGACAGAAAAATCCATGTGACTGTTATCTCCAATTAACTAATAAAAGTGTGTTAACAGAGTGTGGCTCAAGTGGTAGAGTGCTGGCCTTGAGCACAAAAGTTCAGGGACAGTACCCAGGCCCTGATTTCAAGTCCCAGGAATGGGACAAAAAAAAGATGTAGACCAAAATACACAAGTTATCCCACTAAAGACTGCTTTCAAGATTCAGTGATTGAAATTGTTGAATTCTGAGTTTACAAAGGTTAACTGGCTTATAATGTTTGCATCTGATGTTACAAGAAGAAATAGATAATACGTTTTTAAGTTGTGGTTTACCAATGAACTTCCACAACTGCCCTACTGTGGGGTTTAGGCACTTGATTCTCGGAAAGAATGGCGGATCTGATCAGTTATAATTATTACAATGTTCTTCCTGGAGTGAATTTTGATTAACTAATCTGATGTGGGGAGTGATGATGTGAATCACAGAGAGGTTTGCAGAGTCAACAAGCACAGACTCTCTCACCTTGACTGAATGCAAGCATTAACCATGACATGCTACATGGATCTGTCTGCCCCTCCAGTCCATGTATTTTGTCTCTGGCTTTTGTGAATTGCTTCAAGGGTACCTTGAGCTCTGGTTCTCTGGGGCTTAGTCACTATGCATTGAAGGGGAACTGGGGAATTTATTCTATTCCCACAGCTGGTAGCATACCTACCTCAGACTGGCTGAGTCCTGTAGCCCTTGCTGGCTTCTGCCTCTGCAGTCTAGGCTTGCCCACAGTCCCTACTCTGACCAGTCATGGCATCTTCACCATTCCTGTGGCTCCCCTCTCTCCTGCCCACACAGCTGAAATAATCTCTTTCTTTATTAAGCATTCCTCAAATTATATAAGTGAGCATTTCAGATTTTTTTCTACCTCAGCTCTAGCTCCTTCACCATACAGGACTGTGAATAGCAGGGGTATAAAATTATGCAATGGTCATCAACTTGGCAGCAGGGGTGCTCAGCTAATGTTAAAGGAACTACTCAACTGAACTGTGAGTCCTCTCATGTGGAACCCACACATTCAAGACTCAAGAGAAAATCACTCTAAATATTTGTTTTATGGCTGAATTACAAAATAGAAACCACAACCACAAGCACTCTTAACTCTAAACACTGCATGAAAATTTCAGCACTTACAAGCCACTAGTAAACACACACACACATACACGCACACACACAAAGTAACTTTTACTAATTGGCTGTTTTTTTTATCTCATCCTTAGTAAGTTGTGGAAAATGTGTTTGGGGTGTGTGTGTGTGTGTGTGTGTGTGTGTGTGTGTGCACACGCGCGTACTTGTGTATGTGTGACTGTGTGTGTATGTAAAGCCAGATGGGATTCAAAAGCCTATGGAAAGGTAAACATGTAGGAGGGCACTAGTGATGGAAATTGTCTATAGCACCAGTTTGAAGTAATTTTTGGACCACTTAATCTGTAAAAGGAAGCAGAACAATTAGCTTTTATCCAGGGAAAAAGGATACAGAACAATTAGCTTTTATCCAGGGAAAAAGCTAGCATCCCAGGAAATACTATTTAATCCAACCAGGATTGATGACACACAGGTGTGAGAGCATGTATCTCAGAATTGCTTGAGTCTTAACATGCATGTGTACCTGCACTAGAGTCACACAAGGTGAACCTGACAGTACCCCATGAAGGGTACATGATGAATTGCTGAAACCTCTTCATTGGGGACTACAGTGTGTGCCAGAGGTGATTGTTTTAAGACGGCCTCTGAGAGGCAGGAGAGGAGATGGGACCACAGCATGGCGGGGTACTGCAAGTCCATGCTACCCTTCTAGCTGGCTGCATCAGCATAAGATATGGAGTGCAATATGATACAGGAATACTTGTTTTATTGATTTTTATTTTAATAAAATTCCTCCATCTCAGCCAGCACTGGTAGCTCACATTTGTAATTCTAGCTAGTCAGGAGGCTGAGATCTGAGGATTGCAATTAAAAGCCAGCCTGGGTAGGAAAGTCTGTGAGACTCTCAACTCCAATTCTTTACCAAAAAGCCAAAAGTGGAGCTGTGGCACACATGGCAGAATGTCAACTTTGAGCAAAAAAGACTCAGAGACAGTGCCCAGGACCTGAGTTCACACACCCAGGACCAGTGTGCATGCGCACACATACACACATACACACACATGTGTGCACGCACACACACACACACAACACACACACACACACACACACACAAGATAAATGAACCCAATGGAAGAAAGTCTAATGACAAGAGAAAACTGACTTCTTACAGTCATGTAAAATGACTAAAAAATAATCTTTCCACTCACTCATTCTTTACCTTGTCTTTACCTTGACTCCCTTTTAACCTATCCTGTCTATCTCCTTTACAAGCTAACATGGAACCAACTGAAAGCCCCTGGATTGAACTGGGCAAGGTAATAGAAGCTATAACAGAGAAGCCATGCCCTGGAACCTTCCAGAGAAGAATTTGGTCGCCGATGGCTAGAGTATGATATTTTCTTGCCAGGCACAGGGCAAAACAGCAAAATCAATAGCATGTTTTCCAAATCCCCATCATCCTCTCACCACGCCTCACACTGCCAGTATTTCTTGACATCCTTCTACTGTCAAAAAAAGAAAAACAACCTGTCTCCCCATCATGCCCCAGTGCGTAGTCCAAAGGAGTCACATGCATAAATAAAGTAATAAATAATGGAGGAGAACCATTTTCTCCTCGATTATCTTGATCTTTGTTAAACTTCCTTTTATTGCTGCCGTGAGATATTATTAAAAAGAATCTTTAAAGGGTGATGTACCTTTCACCAGATTCATCTTCCCAGCAGATCAGAGCAAACCTGCTGAGCTCGATAATATGTGGCCTGTACAGAACATTGCAGCACCATCTTAATGCCACTACCCTTACCAAACTTTCCAAGTGTCATTGCATCTCCAAAGAGCATGTAACTAGCCACACTAAGAGAGAGAACAGACCCACCATCAATGATAAAACCTCACAGTGTTCCAAGGGGCTGGTGTATTTCTAGGTATTATTTTGTGTTCTAGAGTTTGGCACAGTTTTATGTGTCACAACATACATGCTCACAGTTGTATCTAAAAGTAGTGCTTTCAATAATTCATTCATTTGTCATTGAACAAATAAGTAGATAGATCCGTTTTAACAATATAGGGAGACTTATGTAATCAAAAACCAACAAACAATTCAATTTCACTGCAAAATTCATCCATCCCTCTGAAAAAGTGCTGATTCCTTTTTATTAGGACCACTGCCACTTGCTGTGAATTCTAGAAACATCTCTTAAGAAAAAGGGACGTTGGCCAGATGCCAGTGGCTCACATCTGTAACCTGAGCTACTTAGGAGGCTGAGATATGAGGGTCATGGTTCAAATCCAGACTGGACTGGAAAGTCCTTGAGCCTCTTATCTCCACGTAGAAGTGGAGCTATATATCAACTGGTAGATCACTAGCCTTGAGACCCTATGCTCAGGGACAGCACCCAGGCCCTGAATTCAACCCCCAAGAAGACCAGCACAAAAAGAAAAGGGGACCTAGAGAAATAAGGCCTTACAGAAAAGACTGAATGTACTGATCATGGCGGTGGGGGATGCCTCCCTTGGGGCCTGGGGGAAGGGGGCTTACCTTACCACACTGCTTACATTTCCCCTCCTGCCGACGTCGGTGCACCCAGTGGTGACGGACAAAATTCTGTGGGAACACAAAGTTCAATGAGTACGTTTTAGTTCTCAAATCTCAATAGTCATGGGTTAATGTTTTGGATCACAGAACTGTAGATACTATTAACCTGAACCTAGACAAGCACAAAATCAAAATATGTCGATCCGACTTGCTGAACAATAAAAACAAATGCAGGTTTTTTTTTTTAAAGTGAATTTAAATCTTTATCGCCAGGGAATCACTCATCCTCCTGGCATTCTACTTCCCAGGCCTTCCTCCTCTGTCCTCCTGTCTCAGGGGTGGTGAGTCGCCACTCCTGATGAGTAGCCACTCCCGACTTTCTTACTACTAAAACCTCGTGTCTTCTTGTGAAAGGCCTAAAGAACTTTCACCTGGGTGGTAACTGAGGCAGGAAAAAGAAACAAAGAACCAGGTAGCATGGCTCCTACTACAGGAGGAAGAAATTGGGAGGACTGCTGTTCAATACCAGCACTGACAAAAATTAAAAAAAAAGATGGAATCTGAGCAATCCAACTGGGCAACTGAGTGCTTGTGCTCCAGACTTGTGGGTGGCCTAGGCTTGCCTTAGAACAACTATAAGCCCCCATCTGGAAAGTAACTGAAGCAAAAAGGTCTAGGAGCTCAACGCAGAGTATCTGCTTAGCCTGCCCTAGGACTGTTGAAAGAAGGAAGAAAGAAGAAAGAAAGGAGGGAGAGAGGGGGGTAAGGAGGTAGGGAGGGAGAGAGAGAGAAAGGAAGGAAGGGAGAGAGAGAAAGAGAGAGAGCGAAGGGAGGGAAGGAGGGAAAGAACTCTGTCAAGGCAAAGGAGAGACCCTGAAACAATGATATGCAACTGAGTTTAAGAAACCTGTATACATGATAACAACATACAGTATTCTGGCAAGAGGAAACTTAAAGCAATCAATTTTCAGGAAGAAGGAGAATCCCAATTTTGGGCACTGATTCGAAAGAAGTTTTTCAGAAGACAGAATGAAAGAAGAGAAAAGCTAAAGAAAAGAGATATCATAGTAAGACACCTAACCAAACACTGGTGGTCCATGCTTGTAATCCAAGCTACTCAGGGGGTGGAGATGTGAGGATCATGGTTTGAAGCCAGCCAGGGCAGAAAGTCCGTGAGACTCTTATCTCCAATGAAGCAACAAAAATGCCAGAAGTGGATCTGTGACTTCAGCGATAGAGTGCAATCCTTGAGCACAAAAACACAGGGATAGTGCTCAGGCCCTGAGTTCAAGCTCCAGGACAAGCCTTAAACTGACAGACTGACAGACAGACAGACAGACAGACAGACAGACAGACAAAGACCCTGATATGAAAACACATTGGCAATAATACTGTGTTTAACACAGGGGAAAAGGAAGTAGATTAGCTTTCATGTTCTAATCTTGTTTTGGACAGTAGGAAACACAAACAAACACACCCGAGGCAAAGCAGCCCCATATCCTTTAACTCGGAATCCACACAAGAGAAAGCCACATCTTCAGGACTAATGATGCTGGCTTAGGCTTAGACTAGCAAGCCAATTGCAGGATCAAGCCACAATGCATAGCTTCCCTTCAAGACCCCTTTTAAATATATACTCAGTCACACTATATTTACTACATGCTTGGCAGGAACTATTTTCAGTATATACAGACAAAACAACGGCAATAAATGCTGAGAAAAGGAAAAAAAAGTTCTATCAAGGTGTGAACTTCAGGGTGACAGGAATACCTGCAACAATCATTAGCATTATTAGTGCTGAAATGCCACTCTATTTCTCTAAATAACGTCAAATCAATTTCAACTAAAACTACACAAAGACCATGAGGAGATAACAGTCTTTTAACAATAATAAGATACAAAGAAGCCTAATGGTTCTGCAAATTAGTCTAATTTTCATTTTTCTCTTCCTACTGCCACCATTTAATAAAACAAAGGTACAATTTCATATTATTCTCAGAGAGGGAAAAAAAGTGAAAATAATAACTAACCCTGACTGAGTTCTGTCTCTATCCCAGGAGCTCTTAAAAATACTTTATATGCAATGACTCTGTTCATCTTCATGAGAATTTTAGTGCTCCAGTGAGGTCTCAGGAAGGGTGAAACTACTGCAATAGTTCTTTTTCTGTTGGTCAATTGCGGGCTCGGGCCCCTCCCAGCCCCTCTGCCCCCTCCCCAGCTCCACACCGCCTCCGTGCTGGACTCCGTTGACTTTCTCATCAGGAAGCAAGTAGAATGCAAATTTCTGATTAGCAGGTCTCCAGATGCTGTTGCAATGAGATCTTTTGAAATCAAATCCTGTTGCCTGGGCAATGCCATTCATTCCCTGCAAGAGCCTGAGAAGACCTGGGCTTGGCCCAGCCGGTGAGGCTTATCTGTGAGTGTTTCCACAGCCACATGGACGCTTCTGAGTCCTGAAGCTGGCGGTGACTTTCCAGACAGTGAGAGCAATTCCAAGAATCCAACAGCATCAGTGCACTTCACTCACTGATGCAAAACCCCCTGATTAATGGAGAAAGCGTGATGCTCTACCTCTTTGCCTTGTAGGTGAGCCTCCTCTTCTAGTTCTAATAAGAGACAGATTAGCTCTGCAGATCTGCTTAAGAATAAGAGCTGTGCTTGTATGTTCTTCCCCCATGGTATAACCCCTGTTTTCACTGTATTTGATGTTGGTGCCCTGCATCTTGTATATACATTTTCCTAATTTGGGGAGGGGAAGGGAAATAACAAAATGCTGAAATAAGGATATAGGATGACCCATTGTAACAGCAAGATGTACAAGACACTATGTTGAAAATGAACTTTACAACGTCGTGGAGGTGGGGGGGAAGGAAGAGTTGGAGAGGTAGGGAGGGAAGGAAGGGATGATAGGGGAAAAACAAAGGAGGAGGTAAAAATACTTGATAGGAAATAGACTCATTACCCTACTCACGTAATTGTAACCCCTCTGCACAGTATCTTTATAATAAAAACATATTTAAAAAAGAATAAGAGATGGGGAAGGATGTAAGAAAAGAGAGAATGAAGATGTATAAGGTTGAAGCAGTTTTTTTTGCATATATGAAATAAAAAGTGAAACCTAAGAAAAAGAAGAAGGAGGAGGAGGAAAAGGAGGAGGAGGAGGAGGAGCTGGGGAAGACTAGGACCAACTTCCACAGGGCACATCAATAAATAACTTCAATGACAATCTAGATTGGAAGTATTGAATCCATAAAAATGTCAGCCAGCAATTAAAAGAGAGAGAAAAGATTAGTATAATTGCCATTCATTTCACAAAAATGGAGGACAAATGAGCCCTATCACGGAAGTTAAGAGAAATTCTGTACCTATTGAGATTATAAATCACCCAGCGACTATTAATTTAAGAAAGGAAGTGTTTCAAGAATTGCATGCAATTACCTATGAGAAATCATGACTGATTCACAGGCTCACGTAGCTACTGACAGGTCTATTCAAAAGATTAAACCAACAATTCCTACAGTTCAACAATGGAAAAATTAGACCGACTTAATCATTTGTACTGCAATATACATCATTTGCTAAGCCGATTTATAAGACTATGAGATTTAGTGTGTTCAAAAGGAAACACTCAACTTGTGTGTGTGTGTATGTGTGTGTGTGTGTGTGTGCGCGTGTACCAGAACTTGAATTCAGGACTGAGCTCTGTACCTGAACTTTTTTGTTCAAGGCTAGTGCTCTACCTTTTGGGCCACAACTCCACTTCTGGATTTTTGATGGTTAAATAAGAGATAAGTGTCTCACAGCTTCAAACCACAATCCTCAGATCTCAGCCTCCTGAGTATCTAGGATGACAAGCATGAGACCAGTGTTCAGCAATTAAAACATTCTTTTTTTAAGTTAATACATAATGACTCTACCAGTTATTACTCATCTTTAATATTATTCTTTCTAGAAAATAAGGAAATCAAGGAAGCTACAAGTAGTTTGCACAAAAGTCACTATTATATACAAAACTCAATAATGGCCTCCATACTCAGGTTTCTCTTCATATCATATAATTTTTCACCGTTTACTAAATAATTACCTCCAATGTATGCCTCTATGATGAGAAATATCAAACATTCTGTCAGAGTTCCTTTTAGGCTTAAAGTGAATTTGTTCTACCACTGCTGCTTAAACAGATTTGGAGCAAAGTAAACACTCAATAAATGTTGAATTAAATGAAATTCTAAGCCTTACTTCTTCTGATAATTAAATCATGTGGTTATTGCCATTTGGGAGTGTTGGAGTCATAACTTGCCTTTAACAATACAGAAAAGGGACCATGACCATCCCTGCAATTTCCTATCCCTTATTTCCCAAATTCCTTATATTTTCACACCCTTTCTCTTGCTCATGATTTATATCTTCTAAACTATTGGGCTGAAATTTGATTTTTCACACTTTTCCTCCCCTTTGGTGATTACTCATATCTTTCAAATCATGGGACTGAAATTAGATGTTTTCGCACAATGTTCTTTGATGATTATTCTTAGCTCCTAAGTTGCTGAACTGAATGCTAGATGAAAGAGCCTTACATTGAAATATGAATTCTGCTGTGCTGTTGTTCAGACAGCAAAGCAATGCTTCAAATGCCATTACATCTTTTTATTGCTCATCAATAATTTCTGAATTATTCATATACTATTTTCAAGTACCGGGTAAGGAAAAAGCAGTTACTTGTGGGTGTTAAAATATCAGTGACACATTATTTCAGTATTGTTAGCAGAAATATATAACACAATTGCTCAGCTTATTTTCAAACATCCAGTTCAATTAAAAATATCATTCAAAGAATGCTAGAAATCACAGGCCAAACCATAAGCTTATGACTAAGAAAACTGAATACCAGAATCAACTTAACACAAAAACAGTTTAACCTGTCTTATGGTAGGATCAATGACCAATAATCCATACTTTGAGGGATCTAACCAACTCATAGAAAAGAAACAGAGGTGGGATTTGAAGCTAAGGTTAAACTAATCTACGGTGAATATTCTTCCATTCATATTGAATAACTGATTTAATGTATCTGAATTAAGAAAACCAAGTGAGTCAGTCATTCTAAGTTTCCCTTCAAAATGTCCATTTAGTTCTTAGGCATTTTAAGAAAAATAGGCCTATTTATAAATGCACCCAGGTAACAAAAACTCATTGATCAAATCCTCTGAATCCTACAATATTTGTTTGGGACAAATTCCATAAGCAATCCTTCATAATGTATATAACCAGAAGAGGGAAACATTCTTAGACAAGCCAATAGTAATATGAATAAATAATTATGACATAAAAAGCAATCTGGCCAGGTACCAGTGGCTCACATCTATAATCCTAGCTACTCAGGAGGCTGAGATCTGAGGATCACAGTTCAAAGCCAGCTGAGGCAGGAAAGTCCATAAGAGTCTTATTCCCAATTAAGCAGCTGAATTGCTCCGCAACTGACTGATGTTGGTAACCATCCTTCCCCATCAAATTCACTAATTGAATGTGATGGCATTAAGAGGTAGGACTTTGGAGGAGGTCCTTAGGCCCTTACAGAAGGGGTGGGGCCCTTATAGAAGGGACTCCAGAGAAACCCTGTGTTCACTTTGCTCCATGTGCAGATACAACAAGAGACAATAATAGGGAAACTGGAAGAGAATTTTCACCAGCACCAGTCAATTCTGGAACCTAGGAATTTTGGAATTCCTAAGTTCAACAACTGAGAAAAACAAAGTATTCTGGGGAAGTATTTTGTTATAGCAGCATGAACCTGCTAAACCAATCTCAGAGGTGATATTTTAGCTGAAGCCTAAGATTTAACAATCAAGTCCTGTGGTTACCACTATTTAGGAAAAGGAGGATCATCTGTTGATCTTCAACGTGGCAATGAAATACTCAATATCCACAGGTGAGAAATGTTTTGTGATGGGCGCAGTTTTTATGTAGGGTGGACAGAGCTGAGCTAGGTAGTGAGGGCCAGATTGTACTGGTCTTTTATGCTGAAAGGGGGACACAGAGATCCTCGGAGAGTTTTAAGCTGGAGAATGGCATGATGTCATTTTCATTTCAGCACTTCAGTCAAACCACAGGCAGACCGGAGGGAGAGATGGAAACATCACGAGAAGGGACACAGGGGTCAAAGGGGAGAAATTACAGTATCTTAGTTTAAGCTGCTAACCACAGCAAGGCCAATAAGTGGATGGATTGGAAATGTGGACTTGACAAATTAATTCGAGATGGAGAATGTACGCGTGCATGAGTCACTAGAACTTTCCCCCACTTATCCCGATTGAGAGGTTCAATTTTCTGAGGTTCAAAACCAACCATTTTTATAGTAATGGGAAATGAAGACTTCATTTTTGACATATTATATATGTCAATAAATATATGATACATGAACGTGTGAAAGGAACTCCAAGAAGTGGTGACTGAAAATTAAAGTCAAGAGTTGTCGAGCCACAGTGGCAGAGCACCGAGGTAGGTGGGGTCCGGAGAGCCGGGAGGAGGGCTTAGTGAAAGGGACGAGGAAATCGAGTCAATGAGAAGAAGACTGGCAAAGAAGAAAGAGAGCACACCATGTCAAGAAAAATGGAATCTGTAATGCTTTGAGTATCTCTGAAAATCCAAATAAGGACAAGAACAGAAAATATCGCAATGGGTTTGCTATGAAGGAGCTCACCAGCAACACTGAAAGAAGCAATTTCAGCCAATGGATACAGCAGAAACCAGAAGAGGTTAAAATGATTAGAAATGACACGCTAAAAAATAATCTAGCTAAATAGATCACATTTTCTGGAAGCTTGGTATTGAGCACAACACTGAGAATCAGGGCAACACTATTAGAAACTATTAGAACATGCTTATGCAGAAGGAATGATCTAGACATGGTGCTGGAAGGGAGTATTAAAATGTGGAAAGAGCCAGGCTCATGCTATAATCCTAGCTACTTAGAAAACTGAGATCTGAGGATTGTGGTTCGAAGCCAGCCTGGGCAGGAAAGTCCATGAGACTCTTACATCCACTTAACCCCTAGAAAACTGGAAGTGGAGCCATGTCTCAAAGTAGTATAGTGCTAGCCTTGAGCAAAAAAGCTCGGGGACAGCACCTTGGCCTGGGGTTCAAGTTCCATAACTGACAAAAATAAATGTTAAAAAAAAATGGGGAAAGAAAAGAAACATTGCATCTTTGAGACACAGACAAAGAAAAAGGTGTTGAACAGAAGCTTCACTTTCAGGAAGTAGCACAGCTAAAGAAAACAAAGCAAAACCAAAACAAAACACTTGCATTAGAAAAACTGCATATATAAGCCTGGTGCTGGTGGTTCACGCCTGTAATCCTAGCTACTCAGGAGGCTGAGACCTGAAGATCACAGTTCAAAGCCTGAAGATCACAGTTTCCAGCCTGAGCAGGAAAGCTTGTGAGACGCTTATATCCAATTAACTACTCAAAAAAAAAACCCAAGTGGCACTGTAGCTCAAGTAGTAAAGCACTAGCCTTGAACTGAAGAGCTCAGGGACAGTACCCAGGCCCAGAGTTCAGGCCCTGTGACTGACAAAATTTTAAAAAAAGGGAAATTTGCATATATAATTTTCCATCTGTTGTCTATCTGTCTATCTAATATTTTTCTTTTCTTTCCAGAGAGAGAGAGAGAGGGAGGGAGAGAAGGGGGGAGGCAGGAGGGAAGGAGGAAGGGAAGAAAGGGAGAAGGAAGGAAGAGAAGGAATAAGGACTGAAAAAACATAAGCATCTCTTCACTGGAAATTCAATCACTCCACCTTGACAACACAAAACTCTCCTCTCTATTCTACGTGTCCTTCATCTGAGTAGTGAGTGAGTAATACTCCGGTTGACGTCGCAGTGTCCTCTGGGTAGCACGCAGGTACTCATAAGACTCTTGTCTGTTTCACACTTACAATGCCGTATTCTTTCCCACACTCCCCTCACCTTATCGGACAAACCATGGGGAAAGAACACTCACAAGAGACAAGCATTTTTTTCCCCTCTCTTTACAGCCTCTACTCATTCTCTTTCCAAGTTTCCTCTATACCCTCAGGTATTCACTCATCCATAATGATATCTTGTTTTTCACAATGTCTTTTCTTAGCTCTTTTTCTTTGTTTTTTCTTTTTCTTTCCCTTTTTGTTGGTCATAGGGCTTGAACTCTGGGCCTAGGTGCTGTCCCTCAGCTCTTCAGCTCAAGGCGTCTAACACTTGAGCCACAGCGCCACTTCAGGTTTTCTGGTGGTTTATTGGAGCTAAGAGTCTCACGGATTTTCCTGCCTGGGCTAGCTTTGAACTGCAACCATCAGAACTTAGCCTCCTGAGTAGCTAGAATTACAGGTGTGAGTCTCACATAATGCCCAAACTGGCTTCAAACCCTGTACTTGGAGTCCTCCTGTCTCAACCTCCCAAGGAGCTGGGATTATAGGTGCATACCACCATGCCTGGCCAACCTACACAGTGTCTTATTTTCATTGTTTCAAGCATCTGTGGCTTGTGATCTCCATTCCCAGATATCTTTCATTCCTACCGTCCCAACTCACCTATTATATTTTCCTCACTATCTACATGGTCTGAGCACTTGTGAATATCTTACCTCTACACGTTCTTGCTTCTAAGTTCCTAATTCATTTACTCATACCGCTTTCTATTGAGTATCTCTGATTGGTGGCTGCAAAAACAACTCAAATCTGATCATTCTACAGCTAAACTCACCACTTCTAAAACCCATCCTAAAATCCTTTCCCAACATCCATTTTCCAAAGCAGAAGTTTGGTTTATTCTGGGACTCTCCCCGCTTCTCCCCTCCCCCCCAGTCACAACCAAAATCCAATTAATGTCCACAACCCGACAATTTTCTTTCCTTCACACTCCTTTCTTCCTCCCACATTACTATTACTTTAAGTCACTGTTATTTCTTGTCTGGATTACTAGCAGATCTTCGAAAATTGTCTCCATGCAGGAGCTAAGTGGTATCCTCTACATACTATAGTAGGCATAATAGACCCTGATCAGAATCCTTGACTGCCCTTTTCCCAGCTCCTGTGATGAGGCTCTGATGGTCTAGTCCTTGTTTATGCCCTGGGAAGTATTTCTCCTTTGTGTGTGAATGGGGCCAGCCTCTGTCTAGAAGGCTCTTACCGTATGCCCACCACCTCCCACCTCTGAACCTAGACAACTCCCTGAGGACTGTGTTCAGTACCTGTCTCTTCCAGAAGCACTTTCTTTGACTCCTCTTTCCCTTTGCTATTACTCACTCCTTGGGACTGTGTTTAAAGACTGCACGATCTGGGAAGATTTCCAAGGGGTGAATCTAGAAGTAAAACTGAAACTCATCTCACTGGGAATATACATGAAGCAGAGAAAGAACAGTGGCCCAAATGTCATTTATCAGACCTTCTTTTAAGGAGAGAGGACCCCATAGCCTTGTAATCTTTGGGAGACAGTGAGCAGAGCCTAGAATCCCACAGGGTCAACTCCAACTCCAGCACTGAATAGCCAGTAATTAGGCCCCCTCTGCACAGCTGAGACCCACTCAAAAATGAGAAGAGGAGTTAAAATGCACCAAGGACAAAGGCAGCCTATTCTGGCCTTACCCTTCCGTTCCATCACGACTCGTCACCCTCTGGTTTATCCAGTAAGGAACTGAGCTTCCCAAACCATTCCGTAATCAGAATAAACTGCGGTGCACACACACACACCCGCACACACACAGTGAGCACATGTGGAGATCTGTATTCAGGAGAAAACGGATGTGGGGTAGGGGGTTAGGACTGATGGTCGCTGAGTCCATGGAAACAGAAGATGGCAGCCGACACAGGCCAAAATACTCACTTCTCTTGGTGACCTCGAGCCTCCTTCTCGAAATGTCGGTTTACATCTGAAATTAATCTATTATTTGGAAAAAGAAAAAAATATTTATATATTAGGGATAAGTATCAGATTTGATTGAATTACTTATAAAAAAAGATACTGAGATGATATAAACACCCCCCCCAAACAATAAAGACCATCATCTAATGTATTCTGAGTCTTGTACCATCACATTAAATAATTCACAGAGAGGTCAAGTGAATTTATGCCTTCAATCCATGTTCCTTCATTCTCAGTGATGAAACCAAAGGAACTTTAAGCAATAATATTATTCTACTACAAACTGAGAAACACACAAAAAAGAATCAAAGAATATATATATATATATGTATATGTTTATATGTGTATCTATACACATATGTGTATACCTACATAGAGATATATGTATATGTAGATAGACACGCAGATAGATAGATAGCAGGTGAAACCATCCAGTTGGGTTTGAAATGTTTTTTAAAGAAGAAAACACAAATGAGTGACATTGTAAATGTTCTGATGACTATTCAAACACACATACAAATTAATCGGTGCAAAAAGATTCAGTACTGCCTTTCTTCTACTTGATACATTTATATTTTCTTCAGCTGTTGGACAAGTCACAGGAATATAGGAATGAAGGGAGTAAATAAGTTAATAAGGATTGTGAAGGAAAAGAAACAGTAAGACAAAAGTGACAAGCTATCAGTTGTAGTAATGTCCTCTTTCACTGAACCTGCACACAGAGCCTCAAAGACAGAGACAATGTTCAAGGAGCCATACACAGAAATGGAGTGAGAAGGCCGAAAGGAAACAGCAAACAATTCTTTTTTTTTTGGCGGGGGGGTCTGGTCGTGGGGCCTGAACTCTGGGCCTGGGCGCTGTCCCTCAGCTCTTCAGAACGAGGCTAGCGCTCTACCACTTGAGCCACAGCGCTTCCGGCTTTTTTCTTTTTGCTTATGTGGTGCTGAGGAATCGAACCCAGGGCCTCAGGCATGCAAGGCAAGTGCTCTACCACTGAGCAACCTTCCCAGCCCCCAGCAAACAATTCTTATTGGGCTTTCCTACTCCCAACAGACTATGCAGAAGCCACTTCTGGAATGAAGACTCCCTGGGGTGGTCACAGGGGTGTGTCACCTAGCACGATCACCACCCACGAAGCCCAAAGGAGAGACTGTGGTTGGCTTCCAGCTCAGCTGTCTATGCTGATGCTTTAGAAGTGACCTCATAAAACGACAAGCATAAGATATCGTGGCAATTTGTTTTCTTAAAGCAATCATCGTGTGGAAGAGAAGAGAAGGTAGAGGAAGAAAATTAGAGCATACTAGGCTTTTCCTTTAAATGGTATCATTCTTTTCATCTGGGAGTCAACACAACATGATTCCAAGACATCACATTTCAGCAGACTGAATGGCCCTTAGATATTTTGTTTTGCTAATTAACCTTGTATGTTGTACTCTTTTTCTGTCATGTTTTTATTGGTTTATTGTTCTGTTTTTACTGTACAAATAGTCTTTATTGTAAAGGAAGGAAGGAAATGTGTTTCACTCGCTCCTGAGGTGGCATCTTCAGACTAAGTTGTGGTTCTTCAAAAGCCAGTTGTTGTTTTTTTTTTTTTTTGTCGGTCATGGGGCTTGAACTCTGGACCTGGGCCTTGTCCCTCAGCTCTTCAGCTCAAGGCTAGAGTTCTACCATTTGAGCCACTGTGCCACTTCCGGTTTTCTGAATGGTTTGTTGGAGATAAGAGTCTCACAGACTTTCCTGCCCGGGCTGGCTTTGAACCGTGATCCTCAGATCTCAGCCTCCTGAGTAGCTAGGATTACAGGCATGAGCCACCAGCGCCTGGCTTTGATTTTTGTTTTTTTAAGTACTGTTTTCACATAGTTGGAAAGAGAAATTGGCACCTGGGCGCTGGAGACAAAACATTTGCAATGCGACAAAATGGCAGCAGGTGGTGCTCTCTTACCTTTTCTAGCTGCTCAATGCAGGCGGTGTGGACCACAATTTTACAGACTGCACACTTCCTCCTGAGAGCCGATTTCTACAACATTCAAGCATTCAAGTCAGAATACAGGAGAGAAACATTAACAGTCTGTCCTCAAGAGTTCCCTGGTGTGAAATAGAGTCTATGTATATAAAGCAAGATTGCCTTTACTTATTGCGCAGCAAATTTAAAACTTCATCCTAAACATTAAATAACATGCTAACCTTCATCAATCTTGACTCCCTAAAGTTAACTCCACATTCTCATGACTTATAGTGGCCTAGGTCATCTCTTCTAAGTACAATAACAATACTAGATGCTCTGTATTGCGCATATAAGCCAGGCTCTTTATTCTGTCATAGTAATTCTAAACTCTATGCCCTAGCAATATAAGCATTATTCTTCTCATTCTCAACCTTATTTTTTTTTCTTTTGTGACAGTCCTAGGGCCTAGCACTTGGTGCCTGAGCACTGTCCCTGAGCTTTCTGGCTCAAGGCTAGCACTCTACCACTTGAGCCACACCTCCACTTTCAGTTTTATAGCAAGGTAAGAGCCATAGACATTCCTCTTCAGCTTAACTTTGAATCACTATCCTCAGATCTCAGCCTCCTGAGTAGCTAGGATTACAAGCATGAGTCACTGGCACTTGTCTTATTCTCTGGCTTTTAAAAAATTGCTCTCAAAGGTAGTTCTGGGACAGGACCAACATCCCCCTTATTCCTACATTCCAACCAAGCATCCTGCACCCACCCACTGCCAGACTGTACCTATCAATGGCCAGTGACCCCAGGGTTCTATTCCAGGCTAAGCTACTCCGGTTTCTGCCCCAAATGATTCTAATAACAACAACAAAGTAGGCGCAGTTAATATGACGTGATGCTATATACATATGTACCCTTACAAGGACTTCACAAATATTCACTTAGCCCTCACAACCCTATAAAATAGGTACTCTCCTTATCCCTTGTCTTACAGAGGAGGGACTGAGAGACTAGGCCTAGAAATCAACCTGCTCAAGGTCACCTATTTAGGGCACAACAGAGCCACTATGGATCGGAAGCATTACACAGCTCTGGCCTCTCTTCCAGCTGGTGCCTGTTTAGACTGACAATAAGATTTCTAAGATGATCTATTTCTCTAACAATAAAAACATAACACAGGGAAAGAAATACACGAGTGAACTTTGGACTTCAGACTCTGAGCCGTGGTCACTCTACTCTCTCTATAAGGAGAGACTGGAAGGATGATCTGACTGGATGATTTTTCTGTGTTTAGTACTGAAGGAAACACATTCTAGCAACACGTCTGTGGCCAGCATTTCACCAAAGCCTCGGAGCCTCAAAGGCTGAGAGTCTTTATCCTGTAGGAGGTGCCAGGCGAGATGGTAGCAGCCTCCTGTCTTCTGATGGATGGCTTCCATACTGAGGATTGATGACTGAGCCAGCTGGGGCGGGTCAGGGAGAAGGAAGCGGGCACAGTGGCTCAAGAATGGGCTGCTGGTGTGGGTGGATCCAAAAATGAAGCACCACCTCCTAACTCCCGAATGGCCCAGTCTTCAACATCGGGCATCAGCCCCCTCCCCCCCCCATACCAGTGATGGCAGTGTTACCAGACAACAAAAGCACTTTCGTTTCTCAGTCATGGCACTTGTGCAATAGATCCACAGACCCGAGGTGGGGATAGGGAAGCTAATACATCTACTTATCAAAGCGTGCTCTACTACTAAAAAGAAAAGGAGGTTGTAGCTAGGTGCTGGTGGCTCACACCTGTCATCCCAGTCTCTCTGGCAACTATGATCTGAGGAGCACAGTTCAAAGCCAGCCTAGGCAGGAAAGTCTGTGAGACTCTTATCTCCAGTTACTACCAAGAATCTGGATGTGGATGTATAACAAAATTGGTAGAGTGTCATGCTTGAGGGGAAAACAGATAAGTAAGGGAGCAAGGTCCTAAGTTCAAGACCAAGAAATAGAAGAAGGAGGAGGAAGAGGAGCAGAAGTAGCAAAGGGGGAGGGAAAAGAAGAGGAAGAAAAGGAGGAGGGGTGCACATGATCAAAAGAACAAGGAGAACAACGTGACATGGCAGAAGCAGCAGGAGTGAGACTTTTCATAGAGACAGTCGTTCAAGCAGCAACAGCTGCAACAACAATCAAATTCTGTTTCACAAATTTCCATAGTGGAATGCTCATAAGCAAATGTGTGCTGCTCTCCCGTGTCTCTGCGGATCTCGCAGTCAGACACTGATCTGACACCTGCGGAGAATGCATGCGGTGTTGGAGACACATTGCTACTTGCTACTCCAAGTTACTGTGATATTAAGGGGACTTGATTGTTGATTCCAGCCTCCTCACCATCCACCATATCCCCGCCTCCCCCGACACCCCATAGATCACAACCACTCAAGACAGGCTACAACCTAGTGACTACAATTCAAGGGCGCCTGAACAGTGTCTTTGCTCTTCAATAACCCGGGCTTTGTCTGCCTTTGTGCTTTGACACTGTGTTCTGTGCTCCTGTGGAGCACCAGGGATTCTGAAGGTTATGAAGGAAGTTATTAAGGAAGGTGGGAAGGAGAGGATGGAGTAGATCCAGGAAGCCTTGCACATCCACCGGACCCAGAGCACTCCTTCTTTTTTGTTTCCCACATTGGGATTCTGAGTCCAAATTTCTTTTGCACAGAGGATGTGGACTACAAGGGCCACTCGGTTAGGACACCGCAGCTCAGCTCCGTGACATGATGGAAACACACAGCTAATCCCATTCATCACACTTCAAATGCAATGCCCTATGAATGGCAACAGATCAAATAAAGTAAGAGAAGTTGTAAATCTAATTTGTGTGTGTGTGTGTGCACACAGGTGCAAATGGGTATGTATGCATGCCAACTCTGAGGCTTAAACTCAGAGTCTGGACCTTGACCCTTAGTTTTTCCACTCATGGATAACACTCTACCACTTGAGCCACAGCTCCACTTCTAGCTTTTCATTGGTTAGTTGGGGGTGTGAGTTTCACAGACTTTCTTACCCAGGCTGGCTTCAAATCACAATCCTCAGATGTCAGCCTTCTGAGTAGCTAGGATTATAGGCATAAGGCACTGGCATCTGGCTGTAAATCTAATTTTAACTACATAATATGGGATTTTAATGAGACCCTCTTAACAAACATTACCTATTTCTGTGCCTTTTGAGACAAAATATCCACTCTATATGCTGACTTTTTTTTCACCATAAACTTTGTATGGCACGTTTTACTACAAAAGCCTTCCATTTTTCTGTTTCCTATCTGACAGAAGCTACAGTTACTTCTTAATCATCATTCCTGGCTTCTGTTGCCCTCAGTCTAAATGACAGCAGTTAAGCGACAGCTTTCTTTCTGAAACATCAAGTAATTAAAGTTTATAAGAACATGCAAAATTAAATGAATGGGTTCTGAGCAAAGGCTTACGATCTTTTTCTCAGTAGAATGAATGAAATTTTCCGGTGGACCTGAAATCATAACTTTTGACATGACTATGCTTGCATTGGATAAAGTTATTTAACATAGCCAATAATAAGCTTTTAGGAAGAAATTGCTCAAAATATACAAAATGTGGGGCTTGGTTACATTACAAGTTTTCTTTTGAAGAGTCAGGCCAAATACAAGAAATTTAATATGCTATGTGTAGGAATTAAAATATTCATTTTTTCCAAAAAAATCTCAGTACAGTTAAGTTTCCTTCATTATGAAAATTGATGAATTATATTGTCTTTAACCAATCATTTAATTGGTTACTTGTTTCTTCTTGTTGGGATATAGTCACCACAGATCCTAGCAGAAACAAAATGATTAAAAAGTTACCATTATTGGAATATTGGAGAGGTTTAAAAATTGGAATTTTAAAAATGTATTAATTTGGGTTTGCTGCTTTAAATGAGTAATGTCAGCGATCTTTTTTTTTTATAGTGAAAGCAGGGGTTATATTGTGGGGGAGGGACATACAAAGCAACAAAGAATGTCAGCGATCTTAATAAAGGCTTCCTAATTTTATCAGTGATGTTAAACAAATCCATTCACCTGTGTATGTGCATTTCTGTGTGTTCGTGTGTGTGTGTGTGTGTGTGTGTGTGTGCGCGCGTGTGATTGATTGAGAGACAGATTTGCAGAAACTAAGAGAATAATGGATGTGATACATATTCTATCTCATCACATCTCATTTTGATCTAAAGAGCAGGATCCACACTTATTTAAATAATAACCTGATGGTGTGCTTTAGGATTGGGAGTGGGGGCATAACCCAGCCTCCAGACAGCCACTAGAAGAGAAGACACAGGGAAGGTTCTGACTTGGACCTCCATCATTTTCCAGGCATTGCTGGTATTCGATACAGAGGCAGCTCTTCCTCAAACCCCAGCTTGGGAGTCCCAGCATGGGAATAAACCTGTCACAACCTAGGGCTTAGGGTTCCAGAAACAGAGGGATCAGAGGAAAACAATGGTCCAGAATATGCAATTGGCCAGTATAGATTTATTATCTAATCCTATCCCACCCAATCACCTTCCTTGCTCCTCGTCCCCAGCCCTTGATCTACATATAGCATCGTGCAAACTGATTTCTCTGCCTTTCAGCAGAGATGTGAGTTCTGCTAAGTTACAATGCATTTTAGAGATGGTTCTCAGGGTTTGATAGAAAAAGAAGAGAAGGAAGGAGATGGAAAAAGTCAGGTTAAAAAAGAAGAGGGAGAGAGGAGGGCTGGGGGACATGGGGACAGAGGGAAGGGGAAGGATATAAGTAGTTGAGGGACTTAAGTTTCCTAGGCCTGTGATCTATGAAATGGTTGGATCTTCTTACCATGCATGATAGCTGAAATGAAATGGTTGCCGCCTCCAACCGTCCGATGTCTGACCCCAAGTGCTAAGGCATCACCCAGCTGGCTGTTCACTTCCCACCAAAGCCCACTCCAAACCCATTTCTTCCTGAAGCAGGAGTCAATGAAACCACTGCTGCCTGGAGATCTGCTGTAGTCCTGAGAGCCCGGCCGGTCCTGTCCACCTTTCCAGTCCTAAAGCCCCAAAGCCCAGAC